CACAAGAAAACTACTGGAACTAATAGAAGATTTCAGCAAAGTTTCAGGATACAAGATAAACATACAAAAATCAGTTGGATTCCTTTACACCAACGAAGAGAACTGTGAAAAGTAAATCACCAAATCAATACCATTTACAGTAGCCTCCAAGAAGATAAAATGCTTCGGAATAAATCTAACTAGAGACGTAAAAGACCTATACAATGAAAACTACAAGACACTACTGCAAGAAACCAAAAGAGACCCGCGTAAGTGGAAAAACATACCTTGTTCATGGATAGGAAGACTCAAAATTGTGAAAATGTCAATTCTACCCAAAGCGATCTACAGATACAATGCAATCCCGATCCAAATTCCACTGGCATTCCCTAATTATATGGAGAAACAAATCACCAACTTCATATGGAAAGGGAAGAAGCCCCAAATAAGTAAAGCATTACTCAAGAAGAGAAACAAAGTGGGAGGCCTCACACTACCTGATTTTAGAACCTATTATACAGACATGGTAGTCAAAACAGCCTGGTAGTGGTACAAGAACAGATACATAGACCAATGGAACAGAATTGAGAATACAGACATAAATTCATCCACCTATGAGCAGCTGATATTTGACAAAGGCCCAAAGTCCGTTAACTGGGGAAAAGACAGTCTCTTTAACAAATGGTGCTGACATAACTGGATATCTATCTGCAAAAAACTGAAACAAGATCCATACCTCACACCATGCACAAAAACTAACTAAAAATGGATCAAAGACTTAAATATAAAATTGAACACGATAAAGATCATGGAAGAAAAAATAGGGACAACGCTAGGAGCCCTAATACATGGCATAAACACAATAGGAATCATAAGTAACAATGTACAAGCACCAGAAGAGAGACTAGATAACTGGGAGCTCCTAAAAATCAAACATTATGCTCATCAAAAGACTTCACCAAAAGAGTCAAAACACAACCTACAGACTGGGAAAAAATTTTTGGCTACGACAAATCCAATCAGCGTCTAATCGCTAAAATCTACAAGATACTGCAAAATCTCAACAACAAAAAGACAAATAACCCAATGAAAAAATGGGCAAAGGATATGAACAGGCACTTTGCCAAAGAAGATATTCAGGCAGCTAACAGACACATGAAGAAATGCTCACGATCATTAGCCATTAGAGAAAAGCAGATCAAAACTACAGTGAGATATCATCTCACCCCGACAAGGCTAGCATGAATCCAAAAAACACAAAATAATAAAACTGGAGAGGTTGTGGAGAGACTGGAACACTTCTACACTGTCGGGAGGAATGTAAAATGGTACAACCACTTTGGAAATCGATTTAGCGCTTCCTTAAAACGCTAGAAATAGACCTACCATACGATCCAACTATCCCGCTCCTTGGAATATATCCTAGAGAAATAAGAGCCATCACACAAAAAGATACATACACACCCATGTTCATTGCAGCACTGTTCACAATAGCAAAAAGATGGAAAAAACCCAGATGCCCATCAACGGACAAACAAATAAACAAATTATGCTATATCCACACAATGGAATATTATGCAACGATAAAGAGCAACGATGAAGCCGTGAAACATCTTATAACATGGAGGAAGCTGGAGGTCATTATGCTGAGTGAATTTAGTCAGTCACAGAAGGACAAATACTGTATAAGACCATTATTACAAGAACTCAACAAAAGGTGTAAACACAGAAGAAAACATTCTTTGATGGTTATGAGGGTGGGGGGGGTTGGGTTATTTACTAATTAGACAATAGATAAGAATTATCTTCGGTGATGGGAAGGACACCACACACTACAGCGGAAGTCAGCACAACTGGACTAAACCAAAGCTAAGAAGTTTCCTGAATACAATCAAACACTTTGAGGGACAGAGTAGTAGGGGTAGGGGTCTGGGGACCACGCTTTCAGGGTACATCTAAGTCAATTGGCATAACAAAGCTTATTAAGAAAATGTTCTGCATTCTACTTTCATGAGTGGCGTCTGGGATCTTAAAAGGTTGCAAGCGGCCATCTAAGATGCATCAATTGGTCCCAACCACGTGGAGTAAAGGAGAATGAAGAACACCAAAGACACAAGGAAAGTGTTGCCCAAGAGAAAGAAAGGGCCACATAAATCAGAGACTTCATCAGCCTGAGACCAGAAGAACTAGATGGTGCCCGGCTACCACCAATGACTGCCCTGACAGGGAACACAACAGAGGGTCCCAGATGGAGCAGGAGAAAGGTGGGGCGTAAAAATCAAATTCTAGTAAGAAGACCAGACTTAATGGTCTGAATGAGACTGGAGAAACCCCAGAAAGCATGGCCCCTGGATTCTCTATTAGCCCAGAACTAAAACAATTTCCAAGGCCAACTCTTCAGACAGGGATTGGACTGGACTCTGGGACATAAAGTGATACTCGTGAGGAATGCGCCTTTTAGCTCAAGTAGATACAAGAGACTAAACAGGCAGCTTCTGTCCGGAGGTGAGATTGGAAGGCAGAGAGGGTTAGGAGCTGGGTGAATGGACATGGCGAATCAGGGGTGGAAAGGAGGAGTGTGCTGTCACCCAGTATGGGGAGAGCAATTAGGGTCACATAACAATGTATATATAAATTTTTGTATGGGAGACTGACTTGAAATATAAACTTCCTTTAAATTACAATAATAAACAAACAAAAAAAACAGTAATAAAACAGAATCTTCCCTTTTTTACCAGGCTGTACAACGGAGTGTAGTACTGATTTTGCAATATGAAAAAAGGCACTTAAAAGAAACAGAATTATTGTTTAATATTTAAAAAAACATCATCAATAAAATAAATATACTCACCAATAAAAGCACTGTCAGATTCCAATAATGAATTTTTCAAGAAATCAGGAGGGTCATTTCTGGGCTAAAAGAAACATCGTATATGCATGACTATTTTTTTTAGTTTTGTGTGGGGAAAAAAACAAATTTTTACCAATAAGAGGCACAAGTTTCCACACTGTCACCTAAGTAAGCAAAAGCGGATGCGGAGAGGCAGGACAGGCTGCTTGCCTCCTACTCCACCTGCTAATTCCCAGGAAATGCAAGAAAGACTCCATACAACAGATTGTGAGGACAACAGAGGTCTGGCAAGCTGACTCCTACTCCACTCCTTCCTGCCCCCTTGTGGCTGAAGTCAAATAAAAGGGTCACCTAGAGTATGAAGCAATTAACTTCATTAAACATAAATTTCACTGCCAAGATTCATTCATTCTTTCAGTAAGTCATATAGTACACTTACTATTTCCTCCATACTAGCAACAGGGGACACAAAGATGAATTAAGAGTTTCTGTTATGGAATAAGAAACCCTGGTGGCATAGTGGTTAAGAGCTATGGTCGGCAGTTCGAATCTACCAGGTGCTCCTTAGAAACCCTATGGGGCAATTCCACTCTGTCCTATAGGGTCGCTATGAGTCGGAATCAACTCGACGGCAAGGGGTTTGGTTCTGGTTTTTGGATATGGAATAGATGACACAGTCCCAAGGGAGAGAGAGTCACGGGCTCAGAAAATCACAGCCTTACATGACTGCAGTTGTAATGAGGGCATATTGCAGAAAAAAATATGCTAGGGTCGGGTTTATTATAATGAGCTTTCAAATGAGAACTTAAATTTACACGTAGAAATTTTGCAATAGAGGATACTATTACCTAATATGTTGGAAGGAACCTAAAGTCATCCTCCACCATCTGCCAACACCTCCCCACCAGATTTCTGGGCTGTGCTGTAACATTCCAGGGAATAGCTGTTGAAATCTTGGTGGAGTAGTAGTTAAGCGCTACGGCTGCTAACCAAAAGACAGGCAGTTTGAATCCACCAGGCGCTCCTTGGAAACTCTATGGGGCAGTTCACCTCTGTCTTACGGGGTCACTGTGAGTCAGCATCGACTCGACAGCAACAGGTTTTCTTTTTAATGTTTAAGGCAACCTATTCCACAGATGCACAGCATTATCAGAAAGTTCTTCTCTTACACTGAATTCTTCTATATACTGAGTTTAACTCTCCTTTGTAATTTACCACCCGATGATTCTAGTTAGGTTTTCTCATTTAACGGCGATGATAACAACAGCAGCTAATATTTATCAAGCTGTGCTTAGCACTTCACACATACTGCCCAACCTCTCTTCTGCCTCGCAACCCTTCACATAACTGGAAAGAGCTATCAAAGTCCACCTTAGTCTTATCTTCTCCATGGGAATCACCCCCAACTGCATGGTGTGTTTTCCATATAATCTAGTTTCTAGGAAGATAAGGAACCCAAGATTTATTAGCTTGTTTTTTTAACAGTCATGATAAACTGCTGACTTATGCTGAGTTTCTACTTGGCAATACCTATTATTAATCTAGGATTTTATCCCAAATGCTAGATGTTAAATTTCCCTTATTAAATTTCAGTATCTTTTCACTGAGAGATGCGACTGCCACTTACGGAGAAACCCACCAACTTACAGAGTCTTCACAAATTTCATCCAAACATCTCAGGCCGTGTGGTACGGGGGCAAGTAGGAACTTTGTGGAGTTTGGCCTGGCTTCAAATCTCAGCTTTCCCTATTACTGGCTGTGTGACAATGGGCCTTTAAATATGAGTTTCCTCTTATGTAAAATAGGGATAATCATATCTTGCTGTGGCATTTACAGCAAATAAGTGTAAAGTACCCAGCACAGGTCCAGACTGGGGCCGATAAATGGCAGTTATCAAGAACACGCGGAGTCCCTGGGTGGCACAAGTGGTTAAGCGCTTGACTACTAGCTGAAAGGCTGGCAGTTCAAACCCACCCAGAGGTGCCTCAGAAGACAGCCTGGCGATCTGCTTCCTAATGTCACGGCCAGGAAAACCCTATGGAGCAGTTCTACTCTGCACACACGGGGTCGCCGTGAGTCAGAACTGACTTGATGGCAACTAACTACAATCAGCAACTAGCAACCCTGGGCAAGGAACACCCTGGCTGAGCCAATGCTATCTGCCTCGTAGGGATGTTGTGAAGACTAAATTTATATTTCTAACCTCGATTTTTTTCCCTGAATTCCATCTCAGAAATATCTGTCCCCTCACCAGCTGCACCTGTTTTCCTAATGGGCATCTCAAACTTACCATGTCTATAACTAAATTCCTCATCTTCTCCCCAACCCCTAAAGTTATCTCTCCTGCTTCGCAACTTTGTAAGTAGCAACCCGAAGCCAAAGACCCTGGAGTCCCTCCTTGATTCCTCTCATACCCCACTTCCAGTATGTCAAAATTCCTATCAGGTTTCCTTTCAAAATCAATGCAATCAAAATCAATCACTTCTCACCACTTCTACTGCTACCACCCTGCTCCAAGCCACCTTATCTCTTACCTGGATGACTGCCATAGCCTCCTGTCCCCTCAATCTATTCTCAACAAACAGTAGTTAGTGACTGTATCAAAACATAAGACAGATCATGTCACTCCTCTGTTCAGAAACTTTGAAAGATTCTCATCACATTCACAGAGTAAAAGGTAAAACCCTATAATGGCCTCTGAGGCTCTGTTGGTCCCCGCCGTCCCCTCTCTACCTTATTTCCTATTTGCCCACCCTTGCTTACAGTCCTTGAGCCACCCTGGTCTTCTCACTGCTCTCTGAATGGACCAGGTCAGTTCCTACTGGGGCTTCTACTTGGACTGCTCTTCCTCCAGATATCTACACCCCGGCCAGATATTTTGCACGGCCAGCTGCCTGGTGTCCTTATTCAGATGTGACCTTCTCAGCGAGGCCTTCCCTGTCCACTGTATTTCAGTGTGTAAGCCCTCCCACCAGAGCACTCCCCAACCCCCTCTCCCTGCTATCACCTTCTCCATGGCATCACGATGTAATTCTTCGATACATTTTATTTGTTTGTTTATTTCTCCTACCAGAATGAAAGTCTTCAGGGCAAGAGTTCTTGTCCCTTTTGTTCACTCCTGCATTCCCAGAACTAGAAAAGTATCTGGCACATGGTCAGCATTCATTAAATAGCCACGGAACGAAAGTGGCTCATCCATTCCCTTTATTCAGTCTCTGCACAAATGTCACCTCCTTAGGCTCAGAGTGGCAGGGTTACACTTACTGTGGTTATTTTCTTCACAGCCCACACCACTACTTACATTGCAGAGTCCTGCTTCTACTACCAAGGAGCCCTGGTGGTACAACAGTTAAGCACTCATCTGCTAACTGAAATGTTGGTGGTTCAAACCCATCCAGCAGCTCCGCAGGAGAAAGACCTGGTTATCTGCTCCCGTAAAGATTACATCCTAGAAAACCCTATGGGGCAGTTCTACTCTGTCACCTGCTATGAGTGAAAGGCAACTCGACAGCACCTAACAACAACGTCTACTACTACTGCTAATATAAAGGACAGCAGAAAAAGACCTCAACCTGTTGCCAGAACTGCCCCATAGAGGTTCCAAGGAGCGCCTGGTGGATTCAAACTGCTGACCTTTTGGTTAGCAGCCATAACACTTAACCATTATGACACCAAGGTTTCCTTAGTGACAGCAGACACTTATATTGCACTTGTTATGGGTCAGGCCTTATTCCAGGGCTTTTAATATATAATTTAATCCTCACAACAACCCTTTAGCTATTTTTATTTATTCAATAAACATTTGTATAGCATTCACTATATGCCACGGCTGTCCTAAATGATCTGCAAGTATTGATTACCTTAATCCTTACAACCAACCTCTGAGGTATGTAGTGTTATCCCATTTTATAGATTACGAAACTGAAGCAGTTCTTCGCCATGACACTATGCTTTCTCTACATTTTATGCTAGTAGTTCTCTAGCTACCCACTACACTCATGAGATAAGATTTAAATTCTTTCTTAACTCAATATTCCAAACTGGAATTCTTGCTTATACTATTCCTAAAACAATTCTATTCCCCTAAAACTAACTCGAAAAATTAAAATTGGTTTCTTACCATTCTGTGGTCTCGTATTTTAATGTTTGGAATGGCATCCAAGTCAACTGTAGTCAATGGAGAACAAGCACAAATTAAAAGGTTAGAATATGTTTTAATGAATAAAAGTGAATTTTAAAACATCTTTTGTGACTAGCTTTCTACTGGAAATTGCTTTTTATCCAACTACTATTTCAGGATACTTTTAAGATACGACTTGTAACCCTGCATCCATTCTAGTTGGGCAAAATTCTCCCATTCACATTAATAAATATGAAAGTAAAATCATTATGAACCTAAAACTGATGTCTACAGGAGAAAATAATTCAGGATTCTTCACCATCTTCTGTCTTATTTCTACTGTCTGTGTAGGAAGTTTCTGAGTAGAGCTAAACAGGGGGCTCCCTCACATGAAACTGAAGTAAGCTAAATTCGAGATACCTCATTTCAGGGACAAAGACCTTATACCAGGTACCCTAAAGCCCCTTCCCCAGTTTGACCCGCCTTCCCATGTGTTCCTCTGAATAGTTCATTTTCTCTTTTTCGACACTGCCTTTGGGAGTAAACAGGCTGCCAGTGATAACCTGTATTCCATCTTCTTCTTCTTGTTCGCTGCCATCAAGTTGATTTCGACTCATGTCGACCCCGTGTGTGCAGAGTGGAACTGCTCCATAGGGTTTCTGAGGCTGTGACCTTTAGGAAAGCAGATTGCCAGTCCTGTCTTCCAACGCACCCTGGGTGAGTCTGAACTGCCAACCTTCTGGTTAGTAGTCCAGCATTTAACCATCTGTACCACCCAGGGACTCATATTCCTTCCTAGACTATTTTATAGCCATGTTTGTGATTGTTGTATAGTTAAACCATATTCTTATAAATTAAGTCATCATAGTGTTTGCTGGCATTGGGAGTGGTTACTGTGGGAGACAGATACCTTTGGTGCCAAAATGCACTTGTACCCACCTGGAGACCACTTTTGGGCTAATCAGCCTAAGTTGCCAAGATCCCACATTGATTAGATTATCAGTTAGGACCCGCTAAGGAAAAATTTCACCAAACTGGGTGGAAAGGTTGAAGAATATAATTGTTTCTCTCCTCTCTCCTGATTATATGCCTAAAGTAGGGGGTCAGCAAAAAAGAGGAAGACCCTCAACAAGATGGTGTGACACAGTGGCTGCAACAATGGTCTCGAACATACCAATGACTGTGAGGATGTAACAGCACTAGGCAACACATAAGGTCACCCTGAGTCAGAACTAACTCGACAGCATCTAACAACAACAACATTTATCACAGAATTTGGGTTACTAAGGTGCCAGGAGAAGGTGATCTATGAGACCATTATTAAAAATTGTATATAAGATGGAGAACAGACTTTACCTTTGGGCCAAAGGCTTGTATCACTTACTCCACTTACTCCTGTGATGCTAATTCATGAGGTCAAGAGTGTCCTCAGATTTTGCAGGCCAGACCAGTATACCAAGATAAGGTCTTCAATTTTTCTAAATATCACTGGTAGGACCATAGCTCCTATTCTCATTACTGGATTGTTTTATTTTTATAACCCATTTGCCATGGCCAACCTCAGTGGCCTAAAGGCTGGCAAAGCTGGTGAAAATACAAGTTTGAGGGTCACGCAGTATACCTGGATATCAACAGGGCACATCGGTGCACTCTGAGGCAACCAGCTCCACTCTGCCTCTAGGTGCTCACCCACCCCCACCCAGCTACACACTCCCACAGGATCCTAGGCTTCTCCTTTGCAGCATTCATCACACTTATACTTATTTATCATCTAACTTCTCTGACAGAGTATAAGCTCCATGAGAGCAGTCACCTATTTCATTCATCACCATATTCCCTGGATCTAGTTGAGTGCTTGCACTCAGTAGGCACTCAGTAAGTATCTGATGAATGACCGACTGTATAAAAATGCATTCATAGCTCAGTCTGATGCTTTACAGATTACACACCATATCAAAACTTACACACACACACACCATAGAGAAATGCCCTGTAGGCGTTCTTCCTTTGGTTCTCAGTTCCTGGTGCAGATGTCACTTAACCTGGTCAAAGTACTCAATTCTCCAGACTACAGTGAATGGTTGGGTCCTTCTCATTCAATGACACATGATCGCAGCCAAGCCAATCAGAGTCCTCTCTAACACTTGTTCTTTTCTGGGATTACAGGCCCAAGGGGCCATATGAACATGGAGCTACCAGTGGAGGCAGCCTGCCTGGGACTTATATCAATTTAAGAGATGAAGAAAGCCAGCAGAAGAACAACCCATTGATACTATCTGAATACCAAATCCAACCTCGCCAATAATTCCTTTTCTGTTTAAGCTAGTTTGATTTCGGTGTTTATCACTTCGAAATCAAAGAGTCTTGTCCTATGTATGCCCCTACGTAACCTTGAAGAGCAGCTTACCTTCTGATGGTAAAACTATTCAAAAATCAACAAAGGATTAGCAAGGTTAGCCTCTGAAATTGTAACAACTGTATAAAATGGAGCATAGACAAGTTATGACTAAGAAGACCTGAGAGACCAGCACCTTCAAATAGTGGCCAAAGGAGAAGTTCAACAAGGTAGACTTCACATGAAAGAAGGTTGAGACCTAAAAATGAACGTGTTAACATAATAAAGATCATGGAAAAGATCAGCCCAAGAGCAAGATCAGCAGTACTTGTCTCACCTCGTCTAAGGGGGAAGAGCCTTTGCGGGGTGTGCCAGAATTACAGTAAGAAAGGTGGACTCCATGTAGGAAGTATCCTCTACGGCCTAGATGAAGTATGCCTTGACTTTCGCTAATGCTCTCACCAAACCTCCATCTCTGACTTTCTAGTAACCTGACACTAATAAATGGTGGGCTAGACAAACAGAAAAGACATTTAGGTGACTGGAAATATAGACTCTCCTTTATGAACTAAAAAATTATCATTTATTTGTCATGAGTTTGGTTTGCAGGAGTCAATTTCTCAAGCTTGAGATATAACAAGTACACCAACAAAATGAGACCAGTGGTTCTCAAACTCCAATGGTATACACAAGAATCACCTAAGAAGCTGGTTAAAGACTGTTATCCCGGGAGGCGCTAGCATTCACAGATGCCCTATCTGAGCAGCTAGCCCAGTTCTCTCTGTGGCATTTCTATTTTTTCTTTCTCTCACTTCACTATTATCTGTCTCATATGGTTGTTGTTGTTAAGGGTTAAACAAAATAATGCAAATGAATGTGAGTAGAGTTTGAATCTTAGAAATAACTCAGTACTCACAATGTATATGTACATTAGGAGGTCTACTGACTTTAAAGTATTCTGATTTCATAACTACATACATGAGCAAGTACAAAAATACTTCATTTATCTGGAAATCTAATACAGAGCTGAGAATGAGGAAGTAGGAGAAGTTAAATAAGTAGCCAAACAGATATATATGGTGGTATACTACAAAGAGCACAAGCTTAAGGATCAGACAGATCCTGGTTCTGCCACTTACTAGCTATGAAAGTAACTCTACAAACAAATTATTTTAACCTCTCAGGGTCATAGGTTCCTCCACAATAAAATAGTGATAGTATCTACTCATACAGCTGTTGAGAGGATTCATTCATTATAAAGAAAATATTTACTGAATGCCTACTACATTCTATGCCAAGTGCTGGGTATGTAAACAAAAGACAGTTATTTAGAGGGGAAGCAGACAATAAAAAGTGAACAAATAAATAGGTAATTACAGATTATATCAGATATGAAAAAAACAAACGTGCTACTATGTTGGAAACCAACAGGGGCATACACTTTGGATAGGATCAGAGATAATCCTGGCATGGTGGGAACCTATAGTAAGTACTCAAAAATTGATTGCTATTATCAACATCATCATTTTGTCATAAAATTTACATATTCATCATTCAGTTCTAGCTCAATGATAATTAAACACTCACCTGTCAGATTGGTAAACATCAAGAAATATTAAAATAAGCATTCGTGAAGGTGTGGGAGAACAGGCTAGGAGCCTGGTGGTGCAGTGGTTAAGTGCTTGGCTACTAACCAAAAGGTCAGGGGTGTGAACCCACCAGCCACTCTGCAAGAGAAAGATGTGGCAGTCTGCTTCTGCAAAGATTTCCAGCCTAGGAAACTGTATGGAGCAGTACTACTCTGTCCTATAGGGTCACTATGAGTTGGAATCGACTCGATGGCAATGGGTTTGGTTTGAGCGGGGGGAACAGGTAATCTCAAACTTGTTGGTAGGAAGGTGAACTGCAGTAACTTCTTTGGAAAGTAATTTAGCGATATCCATCAAAGTTTAAATGCATACAACCTTTAAAGCAGCATTTACACTTCTAGGGATTTATCCGATAGATGTGCTTGTACCTGGGACCAAAGATTAATGTACAAGCATGTTTACTGGATTATTCTCAGTACTAATACCAGCAAAAGACTAGGAATTCTTGAAACTTCCATCAATACAAGGTTGATGAAACTATGGTACACTCACTTAACGAAATATTATGGAGCGTTTAAAACAGGGCTTCTAACCTGTTCATTCTGGTTGGAACCCTTGCTGGTAATTCGCATTTCTAACAAGTTCTCAGCTAATGCTGATGGTTAGGGACCAATTCTGAGAAGCACTAGCACGGCAATGGTTCTCAAAATTTATTATACATAAGAATCATCTGGGGAGCTTGTTAAAATGTAGAAATCTGATTTATATTATATCTGAGGTGGAAATGCAATTATCAGCAAGGGTTCAAACCAGAATGAACCAGTTTGAAGACCTGCTTTCAAGAGAATGGTGTTTGGCATAACTGGATGTTCATCTGTACAAAAAAATGAAACAAGATCCATACTTCACACCATATACAAAAACTAATTCAAAATGGGTCAAAGACCAAAATAAATCTAAAACGATGGAAGAAAAAATAGGGGCAATGCTAGGGGCCCTAAAACATGGCATAAATAGAATACGAACCTAACTAACAACACACAAACAGCAGAACAGAAACTAGATTATACACTTACGCTCATCAAAAGAGTAAAAAGAGAACTTCCAGACTGGGAAAAAAATTTTGGCTATGACATCCGACAAGGGTCTAATCTCTAAAATCTACAAAATACTTCAACACCTCAGTAACAAAAAGACAAATAATCCAATTAAAAAATGGACAAAGGATATGAATAGACACTTCATCAAAGAAGACATTCTGGCGGCCAGCAGACATATGAGGAAATGCTTGCCATCATTAGCCATTAAAACAAAAACAATAACCAAAAAACCAAACCCGTTGCCATTAAGTCAATTCTGACTATAGCGACCCTACAAGATGGAGTAGAACTGCCCCATACGGCTTCCAAGGAGCAGCTGGTGGATTCAAACTGCTGACCTTTTGGTTAGCAGTCGAGCTGTTAACCACTGTGCCACCAGGGCTCCATTAGAGAAATGTAAATCAAAACTACAATGAGATACCATCTTACCCTGACAATACTGGCACTAATCCAAAAAACAGAAAATAATAAATGTTGGAGAGGTTGTGAGTAGTATCTGGGGTCTTAAAAGCTTGCGAGTGGCCATCTAAGATAGATCTACTGGTGCCATCCCATCTGGAGCAAAGGAGAATGGAGAAAACCAAAGACATGAGGAAAGTATTAATCCATAGGACTAAAGGACCACATGAACCAGAGACTCCACTAGCCTGAGACCATAAGAATTAGATGGTGCCCAGCTACCACCAACAACCACTCTGACAGGGATCACAATAGACAGTCCTGGACAGAAGTGAAGAGAAATGTAGAACAGAATTCAAATTCATGAAAAAAGACCAGACTTACTGGTCTGACAGAGACTGGAGGAACCCCCAAGACTATGGCTCCTGGACACGCTGCTAACTCAGAACTGAAACCATTCCCAAAGCCTACTTATCAGAGAAAGATTAGACAAGACTACAAAACAAAAAATAACACACGTGAGGAACATGCTTCTTAGTTCAATCAAATATACAAGACCGAATGGGCAACTCCCGTCCAAAAGCAAGACAACAAGGCAGGAAGGGACAGGAACTGGACAAACGGACACAGGGAACCTGGGGTGGAAAGGGGGAGCATGCTGTCACATTGTGGTGATTGCAACCAATGTCACAAAAACAAAACAATATGTGTATAAATTTTTGAATGAGAAACTTGAGCTGTAAACTTTCACCGAAAGCACAATTCGAAAAAAAAGAATGGTGTTTTCAAAGACAGGCAAAACTAATCTGTTAGAAGTCAGGTACCGGCTCCCTCTGGAGGCAGGTAGTTAACTGGGGAGTGACACAACGGGAGTTTCTGGAGTGCTGGTAATGTTCTAGTTCTCAATCTGGATGCTATTTACACGAGCGTTCACTTGGTAAAGATTCTTTAAGCTGTGTACTTAAGATCTGTGCACTTCATGTATTTATGTGAGTGCTG